TGCCGCCGCTGCCGCTGCTGCAGCCGCTGCTGCCAAGACTGTGGTAGAGAAAAGAGCCAGAAAGCATTTCTCCTTTTTTTTTTTCCTTCTCTCTCTCTCTCTTTTTAAACCAAGCGAGAATGAGTCTGCAGCAACCCTGTTGGTGCAAAATAAATAAATAAAGCAGCCAGGGAGGGCTGCAGCAAGCACCACGACAGGATGGCGAGCGATGGCGGGGAGGGAGCCCAGAGGGAGGCTCTGGGGCCCGGGGAGGGGACTCGCCTTGAGGCAGCTGGGAGGCTCTCAAGGATCTCCCTGACATCTGAATCCCCGCTGAGGTGCACAGGAATCCCTCAGGCCAGCCACCTTCCTGAGTATTGTCTTTCTGTCTCCCAGATGTGGGGCAATTCGGTGCAATCTCTAAATCTAAACATCCTCTGTGAACATCATTTGTGGGAAAGTTCTTGGTCCAGGACATTCCCTGCGGGCTCTGAGTTTGAAGTTCCTTCCAGGGGGTTCCCCAGGCTCAGTCCACAAGCCTCACTGTCAGACTGCTCGGGCTGGGGAGAAGCTGCAGAGGGTGGAGCCCTTGATGGATTGATGAGTGGGAACCTGGGTCTCGACACAGGCATGCGACAGTAGAGCAGGCACGGAGGTGATCGTGTTTAAGGCTTCTCTACCTGCGACACACACACATGCTTTGAAAACCATTTTATAAAGAATGGCACATGTTGGGGTTTATGTTTACCCAGCTAAACCCCTCCCCTGAGAAAACAAAACAAAACAAAAAGAAACCCTTCCTATCATCTGCTGTTTATCCCTCCCAGAAGGGTTCACTGCTATTTATAAAGCCAAGAGAAGTTCCGGGGCAAGATCACAGCTGGAGAAACAGGCCTGCGTCCCCGCCCGCTCCTCCTCTGTGCACAGGTGGTGCGTGGCCTCGGCTGTGTCTCTCCAGCCCGAGAGCAGGGGTGCGGGGCCGGGTTGAGAAAGTCCTCCCGGGGTCTGTCCTGGGCCTTCAGACTGTCCGGCTTCCAACATCTCTGCTTCTGGTGAGGCTCCTCAGGGTAGGAGACAGTTGGAGCTGGCACAGAGTTGGGACCGCCCCACAATACAGACTGGTGGCCGGGAGCACCATGGAAATGTTCCGGGTCCCTCAGCATTGGGACTCTTCCCTGAGGCCACCAGGCTTCTCTCAACTGTGACCTCAAGGATGAGAGAAATGGGGTCGGATCGAATGTGTCCTGTAGAACTGCGTGATTGCAGGTGGAGTCTGTGTGTTTCACCTGTGTGTGGCTGTGTGTCTGCTCAGATGTGTACCAGCCTCTAAAATCTAGTTTTAAAGTGCACATAAGAGGTTTGAGTTCTAGCTCTAGACCTGTCTGAGATGCTCTTGGCCTTCGTTGTACCCTGCCCCCCATCCCATATAACTACCCCTGGCCCCTCACCCTCATCCCATCCTTACTCTCCAAATATAAAGTTTTCTTTTAGACCCCAGGAAAAGGGCAGGGCGCCCGACGGCTTCCTTGCTGCGTGGTAATCCAGGTCCGTGTTACGTACAGGGCCTCTGGGCCAGCTGCTAGTCTCTGAGCTTGACGCCTCTCCCCCAGCCGCAGCCCTCAGGGAAACGCAATGAGGTATTTCAAAGGCCTATTCTTAGCTCCTGAGCCCAGAGTTGAGTTCTGTTCCTCCCAGATGCCCTGGATTCCTATTTTCTTGAGGACATCTTGGTCGTCCTAGAGGTCCTTCTGTCCTGCCCACCCTGTGCCTCCCAGAAGCCAAGGGTGAAGAGATATGGGAAAGGAGACAGAGCAAAGCCGAGGCTGGAGGTGAGTGACTCTCTGTCCCCACCCTCTGGGCTACTGTCCCTCTGCCAGGCAGCCTGTGGGCAGAAATGAGTCTTAGCACTTGCTCACTCCCTCAGGCAAGGGCGGCAGCGACCACCTTCCAGAGGACGTGGGAGAGGAAAAGGCTGAGGGTGGAGCAGGTCCAGGGAGCTGGGCCAGCAGGTTGCAGGGAGAAGAAAGGAGCCCCTCCTCCAGGTCACTTGGATAGCCCTTCAGGTGACTCGATTTCAGTGCTGAAGAGCTCCTTGTAGAGCGGGGGAAACGCAGCTTGGACCACGATGGGGTGGAGGTGCTGGAACATTTGCAGCTTTTCCACGTGCTGGCTACACAGGCTCCGAAGCTTCCCCTTGGGTGGCAGCTGGAGGAGGTCAATGGAAAAGGACACGTCAGTACGTCAGCTCCTCCCCAGAGAAAGAAATCCTCTCCCTTTCCTGGGCTGGGCCAGCCCTCCTTGGCGCACTTGAAGTGGCCACATCTCGCGGTAAGAAACACAAGCGAGGGGACTTTACAAGGTTTGTAGAAAAATGGAATTAAAATACGAGCTTGTTTTAGAAGAAACACTTTTGAAATCCATGTATGGGTTTTTCATCATACACATTTTCCGTGACTTTGTTTATTTGTTTGCTATAGGGTGCTTGCACTCACCAGAGAGATGGGGGTAGGAGGTGGGGGAGGGATGGCCATGCCCAATCCCTTCTCCTCCACTCTCCTCTTGGGATGTTGGGCATGCACACACACATGCCTGGCATGGTTTTCAAGCCACAGGGCTAAGACTTGAACTTTGCAGTTGGCCATGTAGGATCCAGTTGCCTTCACCACCACACTGGCTATCTCTTCCATGAACTTTTCAACGACCCCACATATGTGTTGGGGAAACACATATGTGAGGTGAGTGAGAGCCGGTGTGGGACAGGTGGATATTTTTGTGTGAAGCCCCCAAGCTGTGCTCCTGCTACTCCTCTAGGGAGCCTTGTTGAAGACTAACTGGGACACACTCCGTGCTTTTATGACAGCGAGCTCCTGTGCGTGTCACAAGCTGTGTCTTTGTGTTGTTCTCCCCACCCGAAATGCCAACTCTTCTTTGCTTGAGTAACTCCTACTTACCTTCAAGTGTCACCTCCTCCAGGAATATCTCCCTAACTACCCCCTGATCTGGATGAAGGGCTCTTTATGTGGGCTTCCCTCTGTGGGGCACTTACCACATGGCAAGGAAATGGCCCAGTTTGCCTTCCTGACCTGGACGTGAGCTCCTTAGTTAAGGTCTCTCTGTCTCTGTCTTTCTCTTTCTCCCTCTCTTTGTATCTTTTGAGCCTATCGTAATACTTAGTACACGGCAAATGCTCAAACTTCATTTGAACTAAACAGACGTTCTAAGCGGGTCCCTAACACTATGACTAGTAAACCAGCACAAGTAGCACTCTGCCAAAGGGAAGTGAAGAAGGTGCCGAAATCCCCGAGGAGGTATAGGGTGACCTCACTGGAGAAAGGCCGGGAAAGCCGTGGATCTCATGCAGTGTCCTTTGTCACCAAGTACGTCTCAGCCAACATGGCCTCCCTCCCCCAGCGAGTCTTCCAGGACGGGGGCAGTCGGGGAAGAGCAGGCAGCATGGTGACTCTCATATTTCCTGAATCCATTAGCGTTTCCACGTGCTGGCTACACAGGCTCCGAAGCTTCCCCTTGGGTGGCAGCTGGAGGAGGTCAATGGAAAAGGACACGTCAGTACGTCAGCTCCTCCCCAGAGAAAGAAATCCTCTCCCTTTCCTGGGCTGGGCCAGCCCTCCTTGGCGCACTTGAAGTGGCCACATCTCGCGGTAAGAAACACAAGCGAGGGGACTTTACAAGGTTTGTAGAAAAATGGAATTAAAATACGAGCTTGTTTTAGAAGAAACACTTTTGAAATCCATGTATGGGTTTTTCATCATACACATTTTCCGTGACTTTGTTTATTTGTTTGCTATAGGGTGCTTGCACTCACCAGAGAGATGGGGGTAGGAGGTGGGGGAGGGATGGCCATGCCCAATCCCTTCTCCTCCACTCTCCTCTTGGGATGTTGGGCATGCACACACACATGCCTGGCATGGTTTTCAAGCCACAGGGCTAAGACTTGAACTTTGCAGTTGGCCATGTAGGATCCAGTTGCCTTCACCACCACACTGGCTATCTCTTCCATGAACTTTTCAACGACCCCACATATGTGTTGGGGAAACACATATGTGAGGTGAGTGAGAGCCGGTGTGGGACAGGTGGATATTTTTGTGTGAAGCCCCCAAGCTGTGCTCCTGCTACTCCTCTAGGGAGCCTTGTTGAAGACTAACTGGGACACACTCCGTGCTTTTATGACAGCGAGCTCCTGTGCGTGTCACAAGCTGTGTCTTTGTGTTGTTCTCCCCACCCGAAATGCCAACTCTTCTTTGCTTGAGTAACTCCTACTTACCTTCAAGTGTCACCTCCTCCAGGAATATCTCCCTAACTACCCCCTGATCTGGATGAAGGGCTCTTTATGTGGGCTTCCCTCTGTGGGGCACTTACCACATGGCAAGGAAATGGCCCAGTTTGCCTTCCTGACCTGGACGTGAGCTCCTTAGTTAAGGTCTCTCTGTCTCTGTCTTTCTCTTTCTCCCTCTCTTTGTATCTTTTGAGCCTATCGTAATACTTAGTACACGGCAAATGCTCAAACTTCATTTGAACTAAACAGACGTTCTAAGCGGGTCCCTAACACTATGACTAGTAAACCAGCACAAGTAGCACTCTGCCAAAGGGAAGTGAAGAAGGTGCCGAAATCCCCGAGGAGGTATAGGGTGACCTCACTGGAGAAAGGCCGGGAAAGCCGTGGATCTCATGCAGTGTCCTTTGTCACCAAGTACGTCTCAGCCAACATGGCCTCCCTCCCCCAGCGAGTCTTCCAGGACGGGGGCAGTCGGGGAAGAGCAGGCAGCATGGTGACTCTCATATTTCCTGAATCCATTCTCTTCCCATCTCTACTGCTTTACTCTGGTGTCTGCACTCTTGCAGTAGCTTCATTAATTCAACAGATGTTTGTTAACCCCTCTGAACCTAGACCAGGCACTGTGACAGGCTCTGGTGACATGCCAATGAATAAAACATCTGCCTTTATTACACTTATATTCTAGTGAGGGAGCCAGAAAATAAACAAGCATGTAACACGTCAGAAAATATGTTTTTTAAAGAAAACTGGGGCTGGCCCTGTAGTACGGTGGTTAAGCACTGTGCAGAGGGAGCCGGATCCCACATGGCCAATCATCCTGGCCTGGGGGATAGGAAACAAGCACACACACGCCCTGGGTGCACTTGAGGATCCCGATAGAATGGGAAAATGGAGCAAAGAAGGGTTGCAGGTGACTAGGCCTTGATGGAGGGGGTGTCTCTCTCTCTCTAGTGTGTAGTCACACACATATGCCCTCTGGCAAAAGAAAAAGAAAGGAGGGAAGAGAAAAGAAAAGAGAAAAAAGAACAGAAGAGAAGAGAAAAGAAAAAAAAAAAGAAGAAGGAAAAGAAAAAAATCAAAAGCAGGGTGAGGGGTTGAGGGTTTTCATATGGGATGATTGGTAGAGAAAACCTCTCCCGAGTCTTCCCGCGTGGAAGGAACTGTACAGGTGCCTGGAACAGCCGATGCAAAAGCTCTGAGATGCAGCTGGGCTTGATATGCTCAAGGAATAGCAAAGGAGGCCAGAGGGGTTAGAAAGGGTGGTTGAGGGATACAAAGGAAGATTAGGTGATTAAAAAAGGCAGGAGTCATGTATTAAAGCCAGTTGGCCATGACATGGTCTTAGACTAGGTTAGTCACAGGACGGTTGAGAATAGAGTAGGACATGATATGATTCCCTTCGTTTATTTTTAGTTATTGCTATTGGGTCTATGCACTTGTCAGAGATGGTGACACAGAGAGAGAGTGAGTGAGAAATCACCCCCCGGGGGTGTCATGCCTCAACTCCATCTCTTCCATTCTCCTCTTAGAATTTTGGGCATGTATACACACACACACACATGCCTGGTGTGATTTTCAAGCCGCTGGGTCCAGGCCTTGAACTATGCAGTTGGCCACATGGGATTCAGCTACCTTAACCTACATGCCACCTGTCTTATTAAAAGAGCCACCATGGGTGCAGGGTAGATGTTGTGTGGCTGCTACAGGACAGACAAGAATAGAGCAAGGCTTCAATTAAGAGGCCTCTAATCCAGTAAGTAAGAGGACCAGCAGATGGCGTAGCGGTTACATCTCTGGACTCCACATGGCCGACCACAGTTCAAGTCCTTGATCTGGTGGCTTTAAAAATCACACTGGTCTGAGGAGAATGGAGGAGAAGGTATTGCAGTGTGGCCATCCCCCCTGGGGGTGATTTCTCACTTTTCCTCTCACTGTATCTCTCTTCTCCAGCAAGCTCATGCTCCCTAAGGCAAGAACCTATTAAAAAATAGTGCAAGTGAGAACTGATACTGGGAGAGCAACAGTAGGAGAGGTATTATATTTTTTTGTTTTAATTTGCTAGAGGGTGCTTTCTATAGACACACACACAATGAGAGAGAGAGAGAAAGAGAGAGCGCACACATAAGCACTCCCCAGCGAGAATGGCCATGCCACAATTTCTTCCCTTCCATTCTCCTCTCACGATTTTGAGCTTGTGTGCATGCACACACATACACACACACACACACACCCCTGGTGTGTTTTACAAGCCATCAGGTCCAGGACTTGAACTGTGTGGGATCTGGCTGCCGTAACCGTCTGGCCGGCCCTAAAATTCATATTTTTTTTGTTTTTCGCTATAGGGCAGGTGCGCTCGCCAGACAGACAGAGAGAGACAGAGAAACAGAAAGTGAGAAATCACTCCCCAGGGGGATGGTCACGCCATAATCCCTTCTCCTCCATTCTCCTCTTGGGATCTTGGGCACGCACGCACACGCACCCGGCGTGAGTTTTAAGCCACCGGGTCCGGGACGTGAACTGCGGTCGACTACGTGGGAGCCCAGCGACATAGCCATTACGCTAACTGCTGGTTCCCTAAAATTCATATTCTTTAGGGCAGATACTCTCAAGTAATTTCTGTATGCTCAACACCCAGCACTGTGCCTGGCACACCACGAGGGCCTGCTTGAATGATTGTGTAATGGTTCCTTTACACTGGTTCCAAGGTAAACTGCCTAAATAACAGGTCTGATTATATTATTCCTGTAGCCTTGGGGCTCCCCAACGCCTTAACTCTACTATGTCACTGAAAGTTCTCTCTGATTTGCCCTGACCTAATTTTCAGGTGTCTCTTCTGCTACTCTCCTGCCCCGTCAGTCTATCCTAGTCCTGATTTTACACTTAAGCCACAATGTACCAGAGCTGTTCCCCCTATGTGTGCTATTTCACCTCCTTATTTTTGTCCATATTGTTCCCTAAGCCTGGAATACCTGTCCCACCCCCATGAAAATGCTTGTTAAACTCATAGATCTTTCATGGCCTAGTTAATCTTTTTTTAAGTTTTTGCCATAGGGTGTGTGTACTTGCCAGAGAGAGACTGAGAGAGACAGAGAAAGGGAAAGTGAGAAATCAACCCCCAGGGGTGATGGCCATGCTGCCATCCCTTCTCTATTCCCCTCCTGGCATCTTGGGCACGCATGCACATGTACCCAGCATGAGTTTCAAGCCACTGGGTCTTGGACTCAGCCTGACTACTATGCCTACGGCTGGCCCCTAATGGCCTACTTTAAATGCCATGCTCTAGGAAGCATTTATGATCCACACCTTGTACCTCCAAATTATTTTTAATTCCTGTTGTATGCTCTCATAACATTTCCCCAATATCTCTGTTATAGCAAGGTACTGGGGGTACAGTGATAGGTGAACAAGTACTGGGATTAAATCGTGGCTTAAGACTTTTGACACATCATATGAGCAAGTCACTGAAGCCTCCTTATGGCCACAGGAGATTTTAACACCCGTCCAATCGACTAGGATGCCAAGAGGATGAGAAATATCAGGAAGGCACTTTGTTAATCGCATTAATATTATATCACATACCGCATTTTCCTCTGTATTAGAATTAGTAGTACAAGAGTTCCTGCTTCAGACCAGATTAAGATGTCTTGGTGGGAGCAAGGCCCAATTCTCTGTATCTTTCCACAGCGACTTGTACAAGCAGGTGCTGGGTAAGTGTTGGCTATATTAAACTGAATTGTTCCCTGGAGGTCCCTCCCAATTCCAGACTCTAACTTTGCATCTCTGTGCGCACGGAAATAGCTGCTCATTCCCTTCGTCCTGCTGCTGCTGCAGGCCCTCTGACCCAGTGTGGTGCTCCAGCACTCCCTCCCGCAGACTCTGGCCTCACGAGCCCTGATGTCACAGATCTGGCCCTGGGCCTGGCCTCTGCTGCCCCAGGGACTGCTCCTACCTTTGCCAGGATGCCTTGGCGATGAGTCTTGCAGAGATGATGATGAAAGGCCAGCTCCAGATTGTACTGCAGCTGTTCTACTTTCCTTTTCTCTTGGAGCCCTGGTCGGTCTGAAGGAGGGGACGGGACCATAGAGAGAACGAGAAAGACCATGGGATGTTAACTTCTTCTTTTTAAAAATAATTTAATTTTGCATTATTCTTTTTAACTTGACCAGAGAGAGACAGAGAGAGAGAGAGAGAGAGGAAAAGGGAGAGAGCAAGCCACCAGGTCCAGGACCCAGGTCCAGGACTTGAACCACGTGGTCACGTGGGAGTCCAGCAGTCCAACCATCATGCCACCTGCTGGCCACCTGCTGGCCCCTTCCCCCAGGGATGTTAACTTCTAACAAAAGGGTGCATCTTTTCAAACATGTATTGGATAGAAGCCTTCTCAGCTGAGTGTGTGTGTGTGTGTGTGTGTGTGTGTGTGTGTGGTGGTTTGATAGTGAACTCTGGGATCCTAGGGTTGGCCAGCTGTCTCCAAGCAGAACTGGGGAGAGAGGGAACGGATGAGAACTTCCAATTCCCACACTGTAAGCTACCTTCTCCTGGTAAGCTGGTATTTCACACACCCATTCAAGGCAAGGCACAAGGATTCTGCCATGGGGCAGGGGGCTGGGGCTAAGAACGCTCCCCTTACTTTTGCTGAGAATGGTTCCTTCCTGAAGCTGCACAGGCAGCCCCAGGGCCTCTGGAGCAGTCTGGGCTGGTTGTGGTTAAGGGTTCAGGATAAGTGCGACACGTAAACCTCCTTTGCCCTTGTTCCATAAAATACTCACAAGTCATCTCTAAATTTTTGATGGAAGCTCAAGAGGTGTGCTTAGGTTTCTACACATTGGCGGAGCCAGAGGACTGACACTCTTAATCTGCAAACTCAGGTCAGCTGCTTGACCCACTTCCCTAGGTCCTCTGGATACTTAGCATTCAGCTGGCTCAGCCCTGCCCACGCCATTCTCCCTAGAGTGGAGAGCCAGAGTCCTGCCCTTACAAGCAGACAATTTTCAAATTACTTCACACGGAGCAGTGATTTTCAACTTTGGTGGCCTGGAGAGGATGCTAGAAATTTGGGGCAGGGCCAGCAAGTGGACTCCCACTTAGCTAACTGCAGTTCAAGTCCTGGACCTGGTGGCTTGAAACTCATGGTTGGCATGTGTGCGTGTACACCAAAATCCCAGGAGGAGAATAGAGGAGAAGGGATTGCAGCGTGACCATCTCCTGGGGGATGATTTCTTACTTTCTGTTTTTCTGGCAAGCATACACACCCTAGAAGCAAAAATTTCTCTCTCAAAAAAAAAGAAAGAAATTTGGGGACACCCCAGGTCAATTACATCTGAGTCTCTGGAAGTAGCACCCGGGTGGTGGTAGTTTTTAAAACTCCACAGGTAATTTCAGTGTGCACCACGGTGGAATCACTGATGGAGACTCACAATCAGATGGATTTTAGAGAAATGTTGATTTCCTCCCAGCCTCATTTCTCCCACCCCACCTCATGCTACCCTTGTTCCTCTCGCTGAGGCTCCTTTGAATCTTCATTTCAAGTCATTTCATTTTATATCGAAAGTGGGTAGGGCTCATTCTGCTATTCGAAGCAACTGCCCAGATTTAACCACATCTGAAGGTCTGCACCTTCTAATATCTGCGTGTCCCTGCCACCCGAATGTCCTTTACCCACGCCCGCCAGCACTCACTGGCATTGATGAGGACGAGGGCTGTGTAGAGGGCAATCTCATCCTCAGAAAAGCGCAAAGCACTCAGGGAGCGGGAGAAGTCGAAGATGGAGCTGATGAGCTCGCTGCAGCCTGGAGGAGTGGAAACGAGAAGAATGAGCAAGGTGAGTGTGGCCAGGGTCCCCGCGGACACCTCCCTTTCTGTGTTTGGAGAAGAGAGGGCAACCGGTCCTGAAAAGAGGGTGCTTGGGTATGAAGCCTTGGATGGGGCTGGTGTCCGCATCCTCTCTCAGGACCAGCAAATGGCGTAACGGTTATGTTGCTGGACTTCCACATGGCTGCCCATGGTTCAGGTCCCGGACCCAGAGGCTTGAAACTCATGCCAGGCACATGTGTGTGTGTGTGCCCAAAATCCTAAGAGAAGACTGGAGGAGAAGGGACTGTGGCATGGCCATCCCCTCGTTTTCTGTCTCTGTTTCTTTGGTGAGCACATGCACCTTATAGCAAAAATCTCTCTCTCTCTCAAAAAAAAAAAAAGAATCCTCTCTCTCACCCCCCCTGCCCCTCACCCAAGGCTCGGAACAGCTCCATGCCACCGTATTTGCCTTCAAAGAAGACGGTGTGGTTGTCGGCGTTGTAGGCCCGGCACATCCTGACCAGCACCACCTCCATGGCCCCTGGGCAGTAGGGAGAAGAGATGAGGGACTGCGTCAAGCAAGGCCAGGAGTCTGTCTCTGACCCCCTTAGTGTCACCTCCCTCCACGTGGCCTTGCCCTGTTCCGTGCCATGTCCCCTCGGCCCCCCAGGCCTGCCCACCCATCCCGGGCACCTGCTTTAAGTAGCACGATCTGGTCATTCTGGCACAGCTCCATAAAGCCCGAGAGCCTCTTGGCAAACTCCACCACGTACTGAATGGCCTCCGTGAGACGGTGGGCACAGCGCTCCCACATCTCCCACATGGACTGCAGGGAGGGAGGGGGGTACTGCTGCAGCCCTCTGCGCAGCCCTGAGACCTCCCCGACCCCCAGAGAGTGCCACCTAGTGAGCTGCAGGACGCAGGTTGCTCTGAACTCCCACCTTCTCAACACTGGCATCTTAAAAAGCCTATTCTTAGCACGAACGGCCTCAGAGGTCAGTTCCTGTCATTCGGTCCCACGTACTGAGCACCCCCCACACACTCGCAGCTGCTGACACTGAGTGAGCTGTTGTAGGGGAATGAAAAACGAATGAGATACAGCTTTGCCCTCAAACAATTTGCATCCCGGTGAGGTGAGAAGGACACACTACTCCCCCCCCTTCTAAAAAGGACATACCCAAGGTCTTAATAACCTCCAAAAGCAAATGCAAAGTGCCAAACGAGTGCTTCTAGAGCAGGTGGTATTGTCAGGGCATGATGGGAGAGGGAGAATAAACTTTGGAGCTTCGTGGATCTGAACTTGCCTTTGGCTATATCACTCTGTGACCTTGAGGAAGTCAGTCACCTGCTTTAAGCTCAGTTTCCTAGTGGTTAAAATCAGGAATAAGTGCCACCCTCCTGGGCTGGATGTGGTAAAGGTTCGAGAAAACGTGTGCAGAGCATTTAGCACAATGCCTGGCAGGGAAGGGGTGTTTACCAAAGGGTAATCGGGGCTCTGATCATTGCTACGCTTGATGGGGGTGGGCTAGGAAGGAGAGCAGGTGGTGAAGGAGATAGGATGGAGTCTAGGCAACATTTTAATAGAGGGGCTGAAGAAAAATTCTTGCCCACCTGCTAAGGTGTAGACAGAGGCACACCCACCAAGCCATACGTGTGCAGTATGCACGTTTGCTGGCGGACCCGTGAGTGTCTGATGCCCTGCCCCGCCCTGGCCCCCACGCATGTGCAGGTAGCCAATCTGGACTCCCCCAGAGCTGGCTGTCCTCCCTTCCTCGCAGTCTCGTGGCTCACCTTCCTCTGGTAGCTGGTCACCTCCTCCCGGGAGAAGATGTTGGAGCGCTGTCTCAGCAGGTCCTCCAGCCGCAGCTGGCATGTCTCTCGGTAGGACTTACAGACGTTCTGCACCAGGTGCTCTGGGGCCAGAGGAGGAGGGCATGGCTGGAGCTCGAGCGGCTCCAAGCTCTACCCACACCAGGGCCTTCCTCTGCTTGGCTTTCCCTGTTGGGTCTCCTCCCTCAGCCCATTTTCCGGGACCTGTCAATTCCCTCAGGCTCATTTTCAGCTAACAGGGTGCTGGCAGAAGCCCCTCCCTCATCTTCACCACCCTCTCGGGCTCCCCAGCTGCTCACCTATCTCCGTCAGGGAGGCATAGGGTGCCTCTGGGGTGCTGCGGAAACTGGGGCTGCAGTAGCTGTCCGAGCCTTGCCCTGGTTCCCCAAGCCCAGGATGCCTGCGTTCCTCAAAGTCAGGGCTCAGCTGGCTGCCTGTGCTGTAGAAGCTCGCTCTGCCCTCAGCCTTGCCCCGCTCGGGGCTGTAGTCGACGTGGTATGAGGCCCCATTGAGCCCTGCCTTGGCCAAGTTGTTGGAATAAGAGGACCCAGAGCCTGAGGCCCTCAGGTGGCCAGGGGGACAGGCAGAGGCCTCAGGCAGGTCAGGCGAGGACCCCAGGGGCAGCTGGCCATCCGGGAGCCCCAGGGTGTAGGTGAGGGGGTCTGCTCCTTGGGCCCCTGCTGAAGGGGTCTTGGCCACTTGTTCCCGTTGCTGCTGCAGCTGTTTCTGCACTTCTGCGTGCAGGCTGTCCCTCTGCTTCTTGGACATGCGGCCGAATTTGACTGCTGAAAGAGGTCCAGGATGGGGGTTTGTGAGGCCGGAGCTCGTGGCTCAGGGCAGTGTCAATGGGCAGTCTGATCATTGCAGGGTTACCGTACTCCCTGGAGAGCCGACTCCAGCTGGCTTCTCCAGCCTGGCCTGCTAGCCCCCCTTCAGGAACTTGAGCTCAAGACCCCTCCCACCTCTCCTGGCTTGCTCCAGGGATCTGTCCTGCCTGCCCTTTGCATCTCTTGAGCAAAACCATCTAAGTTTGAAACCAACTTCTAATAGTGATGAATCAAGCAATCAGCCTGAGCTGGAGATTCTGACCTCCTGATGTTGGGGCTGGGGGTAGCCGAGGAGGGGGCCTCCAGCTGTATTGGGGTCACCACGCCTGCCTGGGAGGGTCGGAGGAAGAGGAGAGCTGCGAACTCAGGTCTCCCTGTGGTCAGGCCTGCAGGCTCCCGCTGACCTAGATACTCACCACAGCCCAACCCGGGCTCCGCGGCTTGTGTCTGAACATCCTCTTCTGCTCTCTCTTTCCTGCCTCTTGACTCCCCCCGCCACCCCTCCCAGGTGTGGGGGCACAGCCCCTTGCCCCGCCTGCCCCTTTGCACCCCTGTGTGTTTCCTTTCGCTTTGTTATTTTGGGCACCAAAAAGTGCTGACAAGCTTTTTCTGGCTCCTCATCACTTCATGTCTCCCCCAGCCCCGCCCTGGGCTCCTGTGGGGGTGCACGTGGGGAGCACCGCTGAGCCGATGGTGGCTGGGGAAGGGGCACGGGCACCAGGACACTGGCCCTCCCCAGCCCCACTGCTCCTGGTTGTTCCCAGGCTGATTCTGGGGCAGCTCTTAGCCACAGTCATGTGTCCTGGAATGGGAGTGGGGGACTAGAGAGGGTGATGAAGCCGCACCTTGGTGGCAGGGTGGGAGGGGAAGATGTAGGACCTTGGGGGGACTGAGCCAGGGGAAGGCGGAGTAGGAGACTTTGTCTAAAGGAAGACAAAGAGTTCTGGGGCCTTGGAAAGGAGGTTCATTCTAGCGGAGCCTAAAGCCAGCGACTCCGAAGAGCTTCGATGGGGGCGATCTGCCCACCCCCTCAAGTGGAAGAGTCGAGGGGCTGTAGGAGAGCAGGGCCTCCAGAGGGACCCTTCTGCAGGTGGACCCCTGTCTAGTGCAGCCGGCCAGGCTGCTCCTCTAAGACTGGACAATCCCCAGAGACTGCCCCCTTGGCCTCACCATCTCGGGACATGCCCAGTGCCAGGCATTTCTGCAGGCGGCAGTGTTGGCATCGGTTTCGGCTAGTGCGGTCGATGGGGCAGTTCTGCTGGCGGGTGCAGGAGTAGGCCACGCTGCACTGCTGGCTCCGGCGGAAGAAACCCTGGGGAAGGCAGGTGGAGATCGAGACCGCCTGGCGTGGCCAGGTCCAGCTCCCAAGGACCTCCAGCCCTTGCACTGGCCCCAACTTCTCTACATCCTGCAGCCTCAGTGCTCTCTCCTCCATCTCCGTGCAATTGCAGTTTCTCCTGCAATCACTTCTCCGACTTAAGACAAGGCCCACCCCGGGTGGCTGCCTCAGGAGGCCATCCTTGGAGTCAGAACAAAAGCCGCTGGGCCCTCCTCTTTGAAGAGTGTGTGTGCACGTGTGCACGTGGGTGCTCATGCATATGCCTGCAACTCACCTTGCACCCTTCACAGGTAATAACCCCGTAGTGGATCCCAGACGACTTGTCCCCACAGATTTTGCAAGGGATCACTTCAATTTGTGCTGGAAGAGAGAAAGAGAAGGAGGTCAGCGCACCCGGGAGCCTTCCTGCATCCTACCCCCATGTACTGGGGCAGAGACAGGGCCTTGGTGCTTCTCCCACCTCTCCGGCTAGCTCCAGCTTGCCATTTCCCCCTTACAAATAAAAGGGGAAGTGGAGTGCCAAGTGCTTCTCAGCAGAGTCTGAGGAGGCTGGTTTTTGTTTCATGGGGCCGTCGAGGGGGGCAGCCAGAGTTATCAGCCCTACGGAGGCAGAGAAGCAGCTGCAGAAAGGCCACCTGCTCAGTCCTTCAAGTTAAAAAGCTCCAGTTGCCTCCCTGCTGCCTTGGGACTTAGGAGTCCTCACAACACCTGCTTCCCGCCCAAGGGGCTTCCTCTGTGCCCCTCCTCCACTGGGTTCAGCTCCCATGGGCAGAATGCGGGGCCTGGCAGGAAGGTGTGGTAGACCAGGCTGGAGCCAAGGGGGGTGGGGAAGGGCAGCAATGCCAGCCATTCTTAGCCAGGCAGTGGGGGCTCAGGGAGGGGCGGCCCAGGGACCAGGAGCTGAGAGGGCAGGATTCACAGAGGGGCCCAGAGAGGCCAGAAAGAAGGGTGAGGGAGCCCAGGAGAGTGGGGCTCAGCAGCCTAGCCCTGCTCGATGCCCAACAGCCCAGGGGAAGAACCAGACAGGGGTCCTGAGCCCTTGGACCAGGGTGTAGAGTGTGGCTCTGTGCACATCGGTGTATAAGTGTGTGTGCATACGTGTTTGGGGGCATCTCTGTCCAAATGTGTGAGCACAAATCATTTATGTTAAAACTGGCCGCCCGAAGGTGTCTTGGGCTGCTCCATATAGGTCATCGTCTCACTCAACTGCTTCACTTAGCAAATGAAGGGCTGCACCAGAGGAGGTAAGGCCGCTGACCCAGGTTCACACGGCTGGTTTTCCTAAGAGCTGGATATCGCAGCTCCCCTGAGCGTTCCATGCTGCTGCTCTCTGTACAAGGCTTTTGGAACAGACAGTGGGCATATTTGACGGTGTGCTTATGTGTGTGTGTGAAAGATACACGTGTTTAGTGAGTCGGGCACATCTGCAGGGGCTGGCACACATTACACACTGGTATTTCTGCATTTGCTCACTGGGTACCAGGACCCCAGGTCCGTCTCCCCAAGTTCATTGTGGCCTTGCCTGCCCCCAGCCCTGTGGTTTGCCGCTGGCCCCATGTTTAGCTCCTCTACCTGCCCCGTTGTCAATGCCCACAACTCTCTGCTGAGTTTTGGGTTTTTTTAAGCACTATTTACTTTTATTTTATGTGTTAGTATTATTATTTTAAATTTGACTAGAGAGGGACAGAGAAAGAAAAAGTGAGAAAGCAAACTGCCAGGTCCAGGACTTGAACCACGATCAGGCATGTGGGAGTCCAGCACCTTAACCACTGAGCCACCTGCCAGCCCAGTTTTAGGGGACTAACAGGAGGTTGTCTCCCAGGCTGTCCTTGAAAGGCAGATGGGCAAAGCTTGGAATCTCCAGCTACTTCAGATATCCTCAGCACTTCCAAGGGCATACCAGCCTCTTTCCCGCCATTGCTGACCTGCTGCTTTCCTCCTGAGCAGGGAGGTCAGGGAGGAACAGGCCAGTAAAGTGGTCCAGGGCCAACCTCTCTCATCTGTGACATGTCTCCCCGCTAAGGGGCAGGGGAATTGGTAGCCTTCTGAGAGGGCAGCCCCACCCCAGTCACAAGTAGAGCCTGCTGATGCGAGGTAGGGAGGGAGAACATGGCTTACCTACCACTCCCCAAAACACTGTTCCCATCCCCTCAGGCCAGCCTTGAGCTGAGTCAGAGCACTAGCTGCCTCCTTGGGGGACAGGACGCACAGGAATTCTCTCTTCCCTCCCCCCCCCCCACCCCATTTTTGTCCCCGCCAACCCCCGCGCTAC